TGTAAGTTCTGGAAACACTATGTGTTAGCCCACCTGCCATGGGAATTTGGCTCTGCCATGGGAATGTGGCCCTGGTGTGGGGAGTAGGTTGTTGGCAAATCTCAGGCTGCCTGGTCTTAAATCTGGCCTGAATTTCACCTGCTGTGCTTGCACATTTTACAGGAGTGAGTGTGGTTAAGGCAGACACCAGACTTCTGTGGTTTACCAGTAAGCCTGTTTGAAAATGTAAACCCTGGGGTAAAGCCAGATGCCAAATTGGTGTGGGAATGATGTTCCCAGGGTCTTGCATCTCTAGGGTCTCCCTTTCCTGGGCACATACTTCTGCAGTATGGATCTGAGCTAGACAGGGCTTCTCTCTGTGTTTCTCTGCAGGTGGCTTTACAGCCTCTTCCACAGCGTTATTGAGTCCAAGTTGCGGAAGAGTTTAGAGAGTAAGGTATGTGAGCAGTGCAAGGCAGGGCCTTGGGTTCTGTGGTTGTCTTTAGCCCTCACTTGTAGGTGATGCATTGGAAGGATCAGATGTAGGGAGGTAACTATAACCAGAGCACAGGACCGTGTTGCCAATTCAGTAAAACCAAAGGAAAGGGCGTCGCAGGCTCCATAGCATAGAGTGACTTAGGCTGCACTTGAAACCAGGAGCCTTTGCCAAAGCCCAGCATAACTGGTTCCTAATTAACAAAGATTTTTCTTTCCATGTGGTCAGTTAATTAGACCTTATGTCTCCGCCAAACTCATTGTAACATGATCAGAGCTGTCCTTTAACCAGCCATATTCTGGAGAGCTTTGGGGAGCACGTGGGGGCAAACTCTCATTCCTGGATTTCAGACATTTGGTGTTTTGTTTTACTGAGGGGGGTCAGGGAGCTCTGGTACCGCTGCCTACTACAGACACCAACATGCAGGAGACCTGCAACAAGACATGGAAACAAGCTGTTAGCAATAATTACTACAAGGATAACTGGCATGAGTTAGAGCCTCTCTGGATGTGAACTGTGCTTGGGAAGGAGGCAGTTGGAGAACAGGCAAATTACATTCCTGCAGCAGATCCCATCCTGCCCAGGCACTATTCCCAATTCCATGCAACAACCTTCCCAAGTCCCCTGAGGTCTGTGGCAGCAGATGGTCTGGCAGCAGGAGCAACAACAGGGCTCAGAGGCCTTTTCTGCTGTTTTGTCCCCTGGAAGGAGGACAGCTCTGGGACTGCAAAGGGACCCCACTGTCCTCTGCTCCTCCTCCTCTGCCTCATACACATTCTTCATTGTCTTGGTAGGGTCATGGTGTGAGGGGCAATGGGCAGCAGAGGGCAGGGGTAGGGACTGAGCTGCAGCCTGGGCACAGCTGGGCCTCAACCCAGGCCAGGCAGCCCGTGCCTGCCTCCTGCTGCTGCTGCAATGCTTGGGCAGTTCTAGTACCCCCAGTTCTGGGACTCCATTCACAGGGAGATCCCAGTCACAGGGAAATCCATGTCACAGGGAAATGCAGATCATGGGGAAATCCCAGTCACTGGGATGGCATTTTTCTGCCTGCAGCAACATCCTCACAGGCAGCAATGGAGCATTTTGAGCACAGACAGAAAAATATCACTGGGGACAGGGAAGAGCTGCAACCTGCTGTCACTAAGGCCATGCCCAAGGCTGTGTCGCTTCCTCCTCCTCATTTCTGGCAATGCGGTTGCTGCCCCTCCACAGCATTGCATCTCACCATCAGCTCTGTAGGCTTCATGCCTGGTCAGACAGATCCTGCCCATGGTTGGCTGTGATGTTACAGTGAAAACAATGAAAGGAACTTGTGCAGATATCCTCAGCCATCTGCAGGACAGTGCCTTGCAGTAAATTTCCCAGGGCAGTGGTGAGCCAGCAATAAAATCCCCACAAATTCCAGGGCTTCACTTGTGAATGACAGAGGCAGACACATGCACTCTCCTGTCCTGGCACACAGAGCTGTAGGAGCTCAGCAAAGCTCAGCTTCAGGGCAGTCAGTGCTCGTGCCCCTGCAGGGTGGGTTAATGCCTTCAGTGGCTCTGTTTTGGCCATGCCCTGGCTGCTCAGCACGGTTCATTCCTGCATGGGCCACAAGTGATTCCTTCCAAGGGTCTCACCAAAGCTGAGCTGTGCCGAGGGGAAATTGCTGCAAGGAGATGCTTGTAGGTAGAAACCCTGCTTGTGTCTTGGACACCTAATGTGCTGCCTGATGAATGGAGACAATGATCACTGTGTGCTCTTTTACTTGAGCAGGCTTTGCCATGGAGCAGGGAGCGTGGCTGTGACCCAGCTGCCCCTGCTCAGCTCTGTGGCCTTTCTGTCCCACAGGTGTGTGACAATGTGGTCGAGTCTGTGCACAATGAGCTCCAGACATACATCCGGACGCTGAGAGGTACTGGGGGGCTGTAAGTGGGTTTAGAAGCAGCTCTTCCTAGCTTTGGCCATCCATGAGGAATGTTTTACTTTGTACACTCCACTACCCATCTCCTGGTGTTCTGCAGCAAAGCTGGTTGTTGGGAGAACCTTCTCAGCAGAGACAAATCACTCTGTGTGTCCTATGTGGCTGTGGAGATCCCTTCAGAATCAGTGCTCAAGGACTTGCAGGAGCTCAGGCGGATTTATCTGGGGGACCCAGGCCACTCCTCAGGTCCAGGAGATGGCTTGCATTGCTGAGAAACATCCAGGAGGAAAATGGTTTTTTTTCTCTTCAATAGAGAAACAAGCAGAGGTGCAGTTGGTAGTGAGCTGATGCACCAGGAAGCCCAATCAAGGCACTGCCCAGATGCCAGAGGAGCCCATCAGCTCTCAGCTTTCCTGAACATCTCCTTCTTACTCATCTCTCTTCCTTGTGTTTACAGTCACAGCCAGGATAGATGACAAGATAGGAATCGATTATTCCTTGGTGGCACCCCCAAGAGCTACTGCCCAGTCCCTGGATGCAGACCTGAAGGTGAGAGGCAGCCCTGGGAACACTTGATTTGGCCAATGCCAATGCCAAATGCAGGTGGGAATCAAGGTTTTGGAATCTGTTGCAAATGCTGTTTGCCAGCCAGAGTCAGCAGGTGAGCCCCACTGCTATTTGTACCCCTTCTCCACCTTCTCCACATCTCTCTCTCTTCCCAGGGTGAATTCTACTCCCTGGCCCACCGCACCACCGTCCCCTTCTCACCGCTGCCACTGGCCTTCCCCTCGGATCACGAGCGCATGGTTTACTTTGGAGCCTCCAGCTACTTCTTCAACACAGCTGGCATTGCCTACCACAAGGCTGGGGCACTGGTCTTTGAAATCACAGAGTCCATGGTAGTGGCATGAGTGGAACAGGGCTGGGAAAAGGTTCCATTTGCTGATGTGCTCCAGGAGCAGCCAGTAATCCTGGAGAACCCCCAGTGGGAGAGCAGGGGGCTGTGGGATGGGGCTGAGCTGTAAGACATGGCAGCATTTGGGGACAGGATGGCTTGCCATGTGCTCCTCTGTGCCACATTGTCCCAGGGTGACAATACTCTCCTTGCAGATGCCAAAGGAAACAGGATTCAGCTTGGATACCTCTTCCTTCTCAGCCTTCATTCCCCAGGTGAGCAGTCTGGCCCTGCCTGCCCAGAGCTCTTGCACACACAGACTTTGCTGTGTGCCAGGTGTTCTCCCTGAGGACTGGGGGTTTGTGCCATCATTCCCATCCTCTCTCTACTCCCACACAGCTGGAGGAGATGTACCCAAACATGCCAATGAAGTTCAGGCTGTCCACTCCCACTGCTCCATTCCTGACTATTGGACCAGGAGGAATCTCATTCCAGCCCATTGTGGATGCCCAGGCTTATGCCATCCTTCCCAACTCCAGCCTGGCTCCTCTCTTCCTCCTCAGCCTGGTGAGTTCAAACATGGCCTGTGAGAGGGTGGACAAGGGATTTTGAGCTGTGCCCCGTCCTGTTGCCCAGATCCTGCCAGGGGAGCTCCCAGGTGCTGTCCAGGCACATTGGGATGTCCCCAATGGAACAAATCCTGAGCTGACAAATACCAGGTTTGGTGCTGGGTGCAAACACGCCCCTGGATGGGCAGTGGTGTGTTTCATTGGGTCTGATCCGTTCCCCTGGGTCTCTGCTCTGGAGTGAGGTGGGGTGAGCACTGCCAGAACTCTGTGCTCTCTCCCCAGACAGGGAACGTGTCCGCTGTCATCAACGTGAGATCCGGCCGCATAGCTGGGAGCCTGGATGTGGGCAGGTACAGAGGGGAGCAGCCACTGACTGGGCAGGGGGTGGCTGGGGGTGTTTCTGTTTTGGGTGCCCAGGGTCAGAGAGGGGATGGGAAGGTCTCTGGGATGTGGGCCTGGTGTGGGAGGAATGAGCTGGGGCTGGAGGGAATGGGATCTGCATGGCCATCGATGGGTGGAATTGCTCCCTCCCTTGGGACATCCTCCACAGCACCACTTCTGTCCCTGTGCAGGATCAGGCTCTCTCTGAAGGATTCAGCTGTCGGCCATTTCCAGGTAAGCTATCTTTGACCACGACCAGAGCCCCCAGCATGGAGCTGGCAGCCTGCTGCGGGCCAGGACAGGGAGTCATTCCTGCTACCTCTCAGCATGGTACCCCCCATTGGCCCTGCAGCCTCCTCCTGCCTCAGCCTGCAAGGCTGGGGAAGGATGCAAAGCCAGACCCATTGCTGCTCTCACCCCAACCTTTCCTTCCTTGCCAGTGCAGCCAGACAAAGCTGCTGGTCTCTGGCAAAATGTGTGCCCTGCCCATCCCAGCTCCTCATCTCCATCTTCTAATTATCCCCTAGTAATTTCACGTCTCCTGTCCTGCAGACTAAAGCTTTTCCTCTCTTGTCTCCCCACTGCCCAGTTGAGAATGATGCAGTCCTTAATGAACATCCTGACTTCCAATACTCTGCTCCCTCGTCTCAATGGTGAGAACCTACTGGGGGGAATGGGGTTGCTGCAGCAGCTTCCACTCAGGTTGCTCCATCCAAGTGGTCCCAGCTCACTGTTTAAATCCTCATTGCCAAGGCTGATGCAGGGAAAATTGAGTGCAGGAGGCAGCAGTGAAGCAGTGGGAGCCTCTTGCTGCTCTGACAGGCTCCCAGCAGCCAACGCAATGGAAAAAATGAGCCCTCTGCATTTCCTAATGCTTTCCAGACCCTCTCCCCAAATCCCTGCATCTCCTGCCTTGCCAGCAGCTCAGACCAGAGTGGGGCTGGTGGCAGGATGGGCTGAGGGAGCTGTCATGGCACAACACAGCCCTTCTGTGGAGCTTCTTCTGCCAGCCCCAGGAGCAGTGGAGAGAGGAAAGGGCTGGGGAAAGGAAGTGGCCGAGGAGGTGGATACCTCCTTGGTATCCAGGGGGTCGTCTGGATTTGAGTGCTCTGTGCTCCCTTGACTCCCATTTCCATCCCAATGCAGACACATGTGTTGTCTTTTCCAGCCCGTTTGGATGAGGGTTTTCCTCTGCCACTTCTGGACAGGATTCAGCTCTCCAATATCCTTATGAGGTTCCACCAGGTGAGTGAGAGGCAGCTCCTGACCCCAGGTGGGGCCCATCCTGCTGCCCACAGAGCCCTGCTTACCAGCACAACCTCCCAGTCCAGTTCCCCCAGCTGTGCTAGGAAGTGCTGGATGACAGCTCTCAGCAGCAGAACAGTTCTTTGCTTTTCCTGGTTGCTTGGTGGTTGTCTGGGATGGCACCACATCTTTCTCCAATTCTTAAGCCTGGGGTCTGAATTTTCCACAACACACTTTACAGCAGTGTCAGCCCCAAATCCCCATTCTCCCTGACTGGCAGTGCCTGGATGGATGCTGTGATGCCTGGTAGGATGCAGCCTTGCCTTCTCTGCTGTAAGGCCCTGTACCAGGTCCAGGGGAGCAGAGAGAGCCCCTATTGCAAGGTGCCTTTGGGAAACCCCAAAGTGGGGTCTCCATGGGGATCCCAAAAAGCTGTAGTGAGGCGTGGCTGTGAAATGTCTCTGGAGCCTGCCAGGGGGAAAAATAGGCACAGGGGTTGGCAGAGCCACATCTCCCTTCAAGGATTTGATGGCTGCTGGGTAATGCAACTGCCAGGACCTGTATCAGCTCAGCACTTTCTCTCTTTCTCCCAGAATTTCCTGCTGCTTGGAGCAGACGTTCACTTCCAGCCCCGGGGATGAAGATAAGGCTATGAGAGCCCTCCAGCAGTAAATATGTTTCATTCATCACTCACTTTGCCTATCTCTGCATGAGCCGAAGACTACCAGTCCTGACACTGTCCTGCACTGCTGCCTTGGCTGGGACCCTCCATGGTCCTGCTGGGGCCTCACCTGGTGCTGCCATGAGATAGGGGTCACCTGCCCTGGGCCACCCGCTCCCCTCCTTCCTCTGAGCAGCAATAAAGGCATTGGTGCTTGGGATATGCCATTGGTGTCACTGTCTGCACCTCGGGCCACATAGGGTCAGATGGGAGCTGGACTGGGACAGCCAGGTTTGGCTTGTTTCCATGGCCATGGCGAGCCACCACAGAGCACCTG